GTACAAAAATTGCATATATTTTAATCCTGTGTTTGTCTCATTCTCTCTGGCCTTCATGCTGGCTCCCATTCTCCTGCTCTGCCTCAGTTTCCCTGCCCAGTACTCACTCATCCACTGTGGGGTTTGGGCTGTCAGGGGCTGGCTGTGATTTGTGGATGGTGTGGTCTGTGCCTCACCTCTCCTTGCATCCAGGCTCTGGTGGTGCCCTGTGTGTCTGATGTACCTGGGAGGGTTTGAAGTGCCCAAAATGAGAGATAAGAGATGCTGTGGTGCTGAAACATGGCAAAGCCAAAATTGGGGTGACTGGGATTCGAGGAGGGACCACGGGATCGTCTTCTCTGCCCTCAGAGCTGCACAAAGTGCAAGAACGCCCTGAAGCCTCTATTTCTCCTTTGAAATAAAGTATGACTTTTCAAAAAGCACCCAGGCTTGATCTAAAAAAAATAAAAAATGACAGTGATGGATAATCCACTMCACCCCTTGGTAAATTGTCCTGGTGTTTAATTACCTTCACGGCCAGAAAGGAAAGAAAGGAAGAGCACAGAGTGAAGAGCCCCGAGGGTTGTGTGGTTRTTGCTGAGAGCTGAGTGCTCACCTGGATTCACCTGCTGGGACCGTGCAGGGGATGGGATGCTCCAGCACAGGGGGCTTGTTCAGCTCAAAAAGTGATGGGGGTTCCTTGTGCCAAACCTGGGGGATTGTCCTTGGAGCGATGTCCTGGGCTGGGGGTGGTGCCTTAGGATTTTTAGTTTCTGTATTTTCATGTATTTGTATTCCTGTACTTCTCCAGTGTACAGAACTAAAGCTCCTGTTCTCCCATCTTTAGACAAAACAATTCCTCTCTGAGCCTGAAATCCAAGGACACTTTGCTGCCTCAGAGCCCCAAAATGTGGAAACAACAGAGAACTGGGGGAGCAGGTTTGGGGTGGGTGACATCATCACCTGAAGGTGGAATTGGAGAATTGGGGCCCAATGTGTGAATGAGACAGAACTGATAAATGGTGAAGATCTCGTGGGTTGGGGTCCATTTTGGGTGTAGCCTCAGGAGGGGGCTTTGTCTGCCCTTAATGTACCCATAGATCTGGATTAAATTTGTCTGCTTTTATTCCCTTCACTTTGTCTGGCCTCTGTTCCAGGTGAGCCTTGTTTTAGGCATCAGGGGAGCCCTGCTTCACCCAACAGCAGGGCAGCAGCCGTGGGGCTGGCTGCCAGCACAGTGTGGGACAATAAATGGCTTCAAGGGAGGAAAGAAAAAGGGATATTTTTGCCTCAGGACAAAACTTTGCTGTGGTGCCCAGGTCAACGCAGGCTGAGTTCAGCCCTAGGTTTGCTTTGCCCTACAGAAGGGTTGATGGGATGTAAGAGATCTTCCCAGCCCAAACCATCCCCTCCAGCCTGGRACATCCTTCAGCCCTTTTGGTGTGGCAGCTGCAAGACCATCAGGGCTTGATCTCAGAGCAGCTGGGCTGTGTCACTGTGTGACTGCAGGGATGGAGGATTCCTGCAGAGGATCACAGAACATCCCCCCACCGTGGGGAGCAGAGCTGCAAAGGCCAGAGGCTATTGCAAGGAAGTTTTTTCAGACCCCAGAGGAGCAGTGGCCCTCACTTGTGTTCCATAGGGCACGGTGGTGGTTGGGTTTAAAGCAGCGATGCCTCCTCTTGCTGCCCAAAAATTGTTCAGCATCACAAAGATTCCTTAAGAGTGATGGCCCTACAACCCAACAGCTTCATCATTTATAAGAGGGTCCAATCTCTTGGGCTTCAGGGTGGCCTCTCTCATTGATTTTCCTTYTGGGCTTCAAATAAGTCCCAGCCTTGCTGCTCTCCAGCTTCAGCTGAGCTTTGGTCTGGTGCCACAAACCCTGCAGTTCTTTCCACGCGTGGCTCGTACCCACCATCCCTCCTCTACCCCACCTTCCTTCTCCCATTCCTTCTCCTCTCCTGAGGGTTCTGGCAATGCTCTGGCTCCTCTGGCTCCTGCTTGGCCAGCCCAGGGCAGGGGGAGCGTGGTGGGAAGGACATTACGTGGGAGAATATGCATGTTCACAGCTCAGAGGATTAAAGGCCCGTGTTCTTATCACTGCAGAACAGAGTATTATAAATCCAGCCTTAGAATACCAAATCCCCACGCGGCTCGGCCATTGTTTGGGAATATTAAAAAGCTCAGAGACAGAAATAATCAGTTTCCGAATGACACGTTGTCAAATAAAACATTTCTCATATTATCCCTTCTTTCCCCTTTCTCTCTCCCGCTCCCTCAGTTGGATAATTTAACATGAAAAATAGATTAAAATGAGGCTGGCTTGAATACCTCCTAAGTTTGACTCTTTTTTTATTTTTATTTTATTTTTTCCCTTTTTCCCAGGAAGCTCCCCCGGTGTGGTTAAAGGAGCAGCTGCTGGCGCGGGGTCAGGGACGAAAGGAGCTCATGGGAACTGAGCTGCCTGTGATGAGCCCGTGGTGCWCACCCCAGGGGCTGGCACGGGCACCCCCAGCCTTTCCCAGGCAGAGAGGGGCTGTTGTATCAGTGATGGGCAGAGCAGGGACCTCTGGCTCATCCCCAAAGGATGTGGGAGCTGCAGCCGGGCTGGGCTGGGAGCCCTTGGCTTCCTTCAGCCAGCCCTGTCATTCCTGAGTCCGAGGTGGGGTGGCACGCCACTAACCTGTGTGCCTTTATTTATTTTTGTATGTTCTCCCAAGCAGAAAGATCTTTATTTGATATGCCAGCAGGTTTGTTTTCTCCAGGGGTAGATAGAAGGTGAGCCCAGCCAGGATCCACAGTCCCAYGGGTGCCTGAGCCCCTTCCTTGGGTCCAGCTGGCACAGCTGCTCCTCCTGCAAGGCTTTCATTGTCACCCTGACCTTTTCTGAGCATCTGGGATGTCTCTGATTTGGTTTTTTCATGGAGAGTGAGTGCCTGTGTGCCYGTGGGTGCAGAGTGCTCTGCCCTGCAGCCACTTTCCAGTGACAAAGTGCACCGAGGTGTGAGTGATGTCTATGGAGATTTGGTGATGAGGCCTTGGAGAAGGCTTTTCCAAGCAGCCACATCCATGAGTGCTGTTTCAAAGCCCTTCTGGACCTCTCTTTGCTGTCAGGATGCTGGCACATGAGCYAGACCTGGCTTTGCAGTGGGGTTTGTTGTGCTGAATTTGGTGGCCCTGCTGTGCCCTTGTCACCCTTGCTGTGCCATTTCTCTCCTGCAAATCAGATTTCCAAGGAAGTGCTGGTGGGTGTGGGTGGCTGATGCCAGGGAGCTCCTGTGGTGCTCTGAGGTCTCTCATATCAGGCACTGTGCAAATCCAAGGAAAGCCATGCCTGCTCTCCCAGGCTGAGGTGTCCAGGCTGGTTCCTGTTTTTGAGCACTGAAAGCCATGACAAGTCCTCATCCCGCTGGTCCTTGAAATGCCCTGGCACTGCAGGGCATAGACTGGGCTGGTCAATGARCCCTGCCCTTCTCCTGTGCAGGGATCCCTGGACACAAAAACACCTTTCCTGATGGTGCCTGTGACACAAACTGGGCAATTCCAGCAGAGCAGTGTCCTGAATCCCTGAGCCCTGCACCTGTTAGGGACATTTTGGGGGAGAGGAGGGGATCCTGATGTGGGGGATGCTGGTCTGGGCCCCTCTCCGTGGCAGGTTGTGGTGCAGGGAAGCGTCTTACCCTGCTCCCGAGGTCACTCATCCTCTGAACTGCACTTTCCAACGCCCCCTCCTTCCAGCTACTCCTGTTTAGGAGTCAGAGCCGTGCTCCAGGTGCAGCCTGGCACTTTGTACGGAGTGCTCAGGGAATATTTCCACGCCTCCGCTCTGCTGTAGAGCTGGGGGCAGCTCTGGGCCGTGGCATCCCCGGTGCCCAAGGAGCGCCTCTGCCCTGCCCTGGCTGTTCCTGTCGTGCTGCAAAGCCCTGSTTGCTCGTGCTGCTCCTGATTTACATGCCCTGCCTTGCTTGTCTGCCACAGGATAAAATTGCTGCGATGCTGCAGAGATTAAGGGGCTGGGAGCTGGCGCAGGCACAGCTCGTGTGCGTGTGAGGATGAATTTAACTTCCAGAACAGCCAGAGGCAGGGCTGGCTCCCTTTGGTACTTCCTAGCCTGGCTCCCTGGAGAGGACATACTACTTCCATGTGCATATAGATATTTGGAAGTTTATTTTTTTTGTTAAAAGGTTTTTATTTTTAATGTTAACATACTTGAGAGCTGTATTGAATATAATTTAGAGGACAGGAAASACGAGAGCTTAAATAGAGAAGGTCTTGGTCTGGAATAGCAGCACAGTTGTGCTGTGTCCCCATGTCTGCAGCTGAAATCTTGAAGCCATAGGGAAATCAGACCCAGAATGTTGGAGCTGGGGTAACCGTGCCCTGGAGAGCATTGCCTGGGAGGGGCAATTCGTTGCACCATCATTTTTGGGGAATGTGTGTCTCTGCTAAGGCTTTACAGCTCCTGGGTGATGGCTGGGTTATTTTAATGAGGTTTTTTATCTCCAGAGTGGTGGGGTGTGATTGTCTCCTTTCCCATCTCCCCATGTGATGGGGGGCTGGGGGTCTCAAGGAATGGGGTGGAAGGAACAAAGTCCCAGGGASAATGGGCAGAGCTGAGCCAGGGCTGTCCCTGTGCTGTTCCCAGCTCAAGGCCACCTCTGACCTCCCTGTCCATGACCTCCCAGCCCAGAGGGGGCTGCTCTGGGAACCCACCCTGTGTGTGGTTCAGGGGCTGTTGATGGAAGGCTGCTCTGGGGTGGTGAAAGCACTGGAACAGATTGTTCAGGGAAGTTTGAGATGCTCCATCCCTGGGAATGTTGAAGGTTGGATGGGGTACGAATCATCCTGCTGTAGTGGAAAGTGTCCCTGCCCATGGCAGAGGGGTGAAATGGGATGAACTTTTTAGTTCTCTTCCAACCCAAGCTATTTTAGGATTCGGTAGACACTGCCTGCAGCATCCCCCCATCCCTCCCCGTGCCCCGTGCCCGTCCTGACCGTGCCCTCTGCTCTCCCCGCAGGGCGGGCTGATCGCGCTGCTGCTGCTGCTGCTGGTGTTCATGGTGGCCCTGTACGCCCAGCGCCGCTGGCACAAGCGCCGCCGCATCCCGCAGAAGAGCGCCAGCACCGAGGCCACCCACGAGATCCACTACATCCCCTCGGTGCTGCTGGGCCCCCAGGCCCGCGAGAGCTTCCGCAACTCGCGCCTGCAGGCGCACAACTCGGTCATCGGGGTGCCCATCCGCGAGACCCCCATCCTGGACGACTACGAGGACGAGGAGGAGGAGGAGACGCCGCGGCGGGCGGARCCCAGCACCAGGGAGGATGAGTTTGGCAGCCAGGTGACCAGGACGCTGGAGAGCCTGGGCCGAGGTGGGGAGGAGAAGCCCGACTACGAGAAGAAAGGTTTGTGGCTTTCCCGTTCTCCCTCTGCGGTCCCCAGGGTACCGCGGCTAATGCACACTTGATTGCTCGCATTTCTAAAGTCTGYCTCTCAGAAGCTGCTACACCCACCTCTGCTTATTGAAATGTTATTATGAGCCATTTAATATTGTTCACCTGAAATGCACAGTAAAATGCATTTGGATAAACAAAAGCAAAGCGCGTTAGTGCCAGTTGTGAGTGCTGTGAGTGGCTCCAGCAGAAGCAGGGAAGGGATGTTCTGGCTTGCTCTGTGCTGGGAAGGGATCTTGGGGTGATGCTGAACCATCCTTCCCTTTTTGTGTGGGCTTCCCAGAAAGACTGAGCAAGCCACAGTGGCAGGGATGGGGACAGGGACTCTTTTTGTCTCCATGGAGGAGCCAGGGATAGCCTAGGTGATGCACTGTGTCTGGAGAGCAGCTCCCTGCCCTTGTGATGCTCATAAGTGGTGRCTGAGGTTGTGTTTCTTCCACCCTTAAAATGCTCTTTACTCTTTCCCCATCCAAACCAGGCTGTGATGATGATGGTGATGGTTATAGTTGCTCACACAGATTCAGAGGTGCCCAGGGGTCAGTCTGCTGGCATCCCTCGGTGTGTGTCTGGCTGTTACCAGCCCATGGGGTTAAGAGAGGTTTCCTCAACCCTCTCCTCAGTGGTAATGAACAAATGAAAGCTTTCATACCTTGTAACCGAGCTACCTTCTTTCTTCTTTCATATTCTCTTCTTTGTTTTGCTTTTCTATAAATTATTTAGAGTTGTGTGAGTGGGGAAGACAGCAGTAACTGCATTTCAGTGCTCTTCAAAACAAAATATCAAACTAGATCTAGAGCAGAATATTCAACTATCCAAGGGCTTCAGGAACCAGCAATAAAGAAATTACACAGTGCTGAACCCCCTGCCCCAAGCTGGGGCTGGCTGTAGGAAACCTGGGATGGGAGAGATGTTCTCAAATGCTCCCACCAGCTCTGCTTATGATGCTGCCAGGCTTTGCAGCTTGGATCAAGGCAGGTTTGTGCCTTGCCTAGTCTGATCCTTCCAAACTGTGCCAGTTACCGTATGTTTCCTCCCAGATGGGCACCTTTCCCTCTTGGATGAGGCTGTGCCTGAGGAGCCAAGCTATGGTATGTGCTACTTACTCCTCTCTGCTGAGGCTGCTTCGAGCCTGGATTGCCCGGGATGAGGTGGCTGCGGTTCAGATCTGGGATTTCTAGACTGGAGATATAAAATAACTGTGCTGTGGGCTTTTTTCTCTGACCTGGTGGCACAGGCAGGGGAAACGTGGTRATTCTGGAGACATCACAGCCAGATTCCTGTGGGAATGGGGCAGGTGGGGTGGAAAAACTGCAGCTATGTGAGCAGACACCAGGCACCTACATATCCCCAGGGCTGGAAGTTCTGCTGGGATTTGCAGCTGGATTGAAGGTGGATGCATTAAGGGACACCCAGCTGGAATGTGGCTGYAGTGTAACAATAGGATCAGCCTTTCTTGGTGCCCAGCTGGCACTGCCAGGTGTCATTCTGGTCACTTGGGATGGGTGTGGAGATGTGCCTGCACCCCAGGGAATCCACCAGCTCCCATGGGGAAAGCTCTCCTCSCTGCTCTCACTGTGTTTCCTTGTGATAAGGCATCAGCTGGGACTTGTCAGCAGGCTCCAAGCGCTATCATCACGGGGGCTGTCAGCACAGGCTCTTTCAAGTGTCATTCCCCAGCATTAATTACCAGGGATGGCAAATCCAGTGGAGATGGAGCAGTTGTGCTCACCCTCCACCCCCTGTGCTGGGCACTGATGGATTTCAGGTGCTGGGTGGTGCCATTTCCATCACTGGGGGTTTGCACACCCCTCACTTGGTGGATGTTGGGTCAATTATCCTTTCCACGAGGAAGACTGTGGGTTTTTTTTTTTTTTTAAATTCGCCATTGCTGGATGTATCTGGTCAGGGAATCAGGCAGGGAATTGCTCTGGATGGCTCTGCTCCATCCAGTCCCTGCCCAGGAGGCYCAAGCAGCACAAATGTTTTGCAGATCACAGCTCAGCGAGCCAAACTTTCCTCCCCAGCTCAGGCAGCGATGTGGATGGGAGGGAGATGGGAGGGATGCTCCCGTGTGGTGCTGGAGCATCTGAAGTGAATCCCAGCACAAATAAAACACAGGAGTGATGTGCTGAATAATGACATCTAGCAACAAGCGTGTCTGAGTGATAAAGTTAATGAAATTACAGGTTCTGACCTGATACCAGGCTCTGCTGTGGGGAGATAAACAGCAGGGCAAAGATGAGATGTTTATTTCTCCCTAGCTGCAGTTGTAATCTGGATGCGCTGTGCAGGGCCATTAACGTTATTACTGTTATGCAAAATCATTTTTGACTTGGGGGAAAGAAAAAAAAAAAAAAAGGAGGAAAGAAAGAAAAATCTCCCAACTGCCTAGAAAATGTAAAGCTGACAAAATTAGAATTGCAGCAGGAGCACAAGCTGACCTGGTGACATTGCGTAGAGCCCAGATGAATTTAGACAGAAGGAAAATCCAAGGCAGTTTAGGAAGAAAMGTAGAAAAGTRGGATTTTTTWAAAAAAATAATAATAAAATGAAATGGAGCAAGTCAGGAGGCAATAGCCAGGCTGTCCTAATTATCCAGAAAGATCCCTTGAGCTGGGAGGGAGAGGGGGCTATGCTGTCTCCTCGGGGGTTTGGTTTCTCTCTGGCAATTCTCTCTAGAATTTTGTGCTTTGTGATGTGCATGGTCCCAGGTGGGATCTACTGGTGCAGAGTGCAATTTTGGGGTCTTGGTGTTTGCTGGGGAGACTCTCCCGGTCTGAACTCGGCCCCTGTGTGTACATGGGGTTCAGTGACTGTGGGGATTGGGGTAAATTTGTGCAGGTGTTGTCACTCCCTCACCTCTTCTGTCCTCCCTTCTCTGTGGATTTTCCATTCCATGCTCCTGATGAGTTCTGCTCTCTTGCTTTTCCCAAGCAGATGGCTTCAAGCTCCATCCCTTTGGGAATTCCTCACTTGCTCTTCTCTTTTAATGTATTTGGTTCTGACACGAGCTCTGACAAATTCTACAGCCCTTTGCTTCTGTCCATCGAGCCCTGTTTGAGGGGCTTTGGCCCTCAGTCCACTGAATGTGGCACTTCTGCATCCACTGGGGATGCACTGCATACACAGGGGTGGAGTTGGTAAATGAAAGCAAAGTCCAGCAAACCTCAATATGGGATTACCCACAAATTCCTCAGAAAGAAGGTTTTGCCAAAGCAAATCTCCTAAAGATCAGCGAGAAACAGGACTTCTGCCTGGTGAAAACTGAGGAGAAATCAGACTTGAAAATCGAGTATCTGCAATTCCACTCCTGCCACAAAGGTCCCATCTTTATTTCTCAGTTTCTTTCATGTTCCAAAAAGGAACTTTTCAGGCAGGCCTTTGTGCTGGCTTCACAGGCTCTGCAGTCTGGGTTTGGCCTCCAAGTCTAGACAGGAGACAGGACTTATTACTGATGGTTCCAATGATTAATGCCATGGGCATATCAAAGATGTGCTTGTGCACTCATCTTGAATTCCTCTCTCCTGGACCTTCTGCTCCCCTGCTGTGCTGGCTCAGGTAAACCTCTGAAGTTTCACTTCCTTAATCCATGGATRCTTTCCTCTGTAGTGGCAGTGAGATGCTTTTGAGCATTCCTGAGAGATGTTCTGGCTCCTGGAGTGCACCTGGAGATGGAGACCCAGCTCCACTCTGGTAGCCCTGGTTTTGTCATTTAACGGTCCAGTCCTCCTCATGTGTGKGTTGGAGAGGGAGCTGAGTCAGACAGAAGGCAGGGCAGCACGAGGGAACGCTGAGAACTGCTGATGGCAGGGCTTGTGGCTCCCTCAGCCTCCCAGGCAAGCTGCTCTGGGTGCTGTGATCCAGGAGAGCTGCAGGAGAAGGGATTTAGCAGAGGAGGCTAATAATGGATTTGAGATAGCAGCAAAATGCAGGGAAAGGATCCTGGAAATGACAAGAGGGAGCTTTCTGTGCCCCCACCAGCCCTGGAGCAGCAGCTCTGGGGGGCACATCTCAGTGTCATTTTTGCCTTGCTGTGCAGACTCCTCCAGGAAGAGTCTCCAGGGCAGCGCTCTGGATGGAGGGCAGGATGTTGGGGCTGGGGAAAGGACATTTTGGGGGGCTGAGCTGTGCAAGAGGAGGGCAGGCAGTTAAACTGTTCCCTAGAGCTGCCATTCATGGCGAATACACGAGCTCTGCAGTGTGTTGGAGGTGAGATTAGAGCTGGCTGTGAGTCAGGGCGATGCCCTTGTGATGGGCAGGTGATGGTGCTGCCCTCCACCTTGGAGAGGGGAGAGCACACAGGCAGCAAGAACAGAATGTSTGGCCTGGTAATGAGTCCCTGAGTGACAGCCTGGTGTCCCTGAGGGGACCCTGGAGCCTGGCTGGGCTGGTGGCYRTGCCAGGRTGTGCCATCCCTGGTGTCGGGGGAGTCTGACACAGTTCCACCCTGATTCCCAGCGTTAACCAGAGGTTCTCTGAGCCTTTCATAAATAAAACKATGGCTTAACATTTGCTGGGGCTGCAGGCTAAAATGGGACAGTGCGTCAGGCCRGCGTCTGGTGTGTCTTGGGGCTCTTCTTTCCAGTGACCTGATGGGATCATGACCCTCTTTGTACGTGATTGGCTTTGCCCAGCTCTAATCCCCACCAGCTCCTTCTGTAATTTACAGGGACCTTGGAAAATGTATAGTCTCAGCTCGTCAGTGAAAAGTGGTTTTGGTTTGTTTTTTGTTTTTTTGGGTTTGTTTGTTTGTTTGTTTGTTTTTGTTTGGTTGTTTTTTTTTGCAGTTCTCTGGTCCTGTCTGAAAAAGCTGCCTTCAAATTTCAGCTTTAAAGAAATGTAAAAAGATAAAAAACAAAAAAAGAAAAAAGAAGAAAATAGGCTCTACAGGGTAGGAATTGGCTCCTGATTCAGAGAAGCACTTCCAGACGTGCTTAGGTAGTGTCTCTAGT